AMCCCCCMCATACAGSGGTTTATTTACCTGCATAAAAAACMAAGAAGTTCAGTCATGTCCACTGCTTGTTGTTTAAACATGGGGAAGTGTGTTTTCAATGAGACTTGACTTCATATCAGTGATTTTTACACTCTGTTGGAAGCGTACAGCAGTAGATATGAAGGTCTCATAGATATGACCGTTTCATTAAAATAATTAAGCGTTCTTGTGTTAAAAATAAATATTCTTTAATAACTAAACTGATAGCAGTAAAAGGTTTTTATGTTAGAATTTCTGGGACCATTTGAATGTTTTTGTTTATGCGTTGTTTTGGTCTTAAATGTTATTCCGGATGGTCTTAAAAAGCCTTTTAAAAGGTCTTAAATTTAACTTAATGAAACCTGCACAAACCCTGATTAAATATGCACACAAACTTCTGAGACAGCTTAAAAAGTAGCATAAGTTCAACGGGACAAAAATGTTGAATGTATAAAAGTAAAAGAAATTAAAAACAAACAGGATTCTTTGTTCCTTAAAGTCTGCTAAATAACAGAAAAGTCCAAATTCAGTCGGGGTACAACACAGTTGGAAATAAACTGATCAAACAAAGTTTTACTTCTAATACACTGGTAATTTTTCCTAAAATAATCTTATTTTATGTTTATTATTAATCACTTTGAAGTGGAACAGACTGTCAGGTTTTTGTTTTTGCTGTTTGACTGAATAGCTCCACTGTCTGAACGTCTCTTATTTGCATGTTACTTCTTGTCGCACGGTGGCGCAAACACAATGTTGTTTCACTTAACGTCTAGCTCTGATATCAGAGTTGTTGCTTCAGTGTCACTGAAACAAACTTTTTTTGTAAATTTATTATTATTATTTTTGTTGTTTTGCAGATGGTTTACAACTTGTCTGACGAGAGCTGTTTTTTGATCAGCACTATCAAAGGTCAGCTCAAAAGTGCTAAAATAAGGAACTAAGTCTTGCGCGTTGCAAGCTGTGGTGTGTGTTTATTTGATGGGGATTTGATGTACTTTTTTTTATCTCGTGTGTGCTTCCAGATGAGTTTGGCGAAGGACTTCATCTGATCATGAAGTAGTGAGGAGGACAGATGGCATCACTAATTCTCCACCCTCTGTTTTGGAGCGGCAGCCTCCTCCGTGTCCCTCTCTGCCCGCCTCTACTCTTATCGCTCTACATCCTCCCGATCTCTTCTAATAATAGCTCGATGGAAAGCTGCGTTAATGTAAATGTTAGAATCTGACATGGGTGTGTCCACTGTTTCATATTGAAAACACTATTAACAAAAGGGTTCGTTAGGAGAGGAGACTCGGGAGGGTAAAGGATAAGGGAGTAGTTGACATTGTTTTTTATGTATTTTGGTTTTATTTTATTTTGTCTTTTTTTTTTAAATATATATATATAGTTTGTGTGTGGAGACAGGAGGGTGGAGGCTCCGAAAGAGAGTGATGGATGGTGCTCTGGCCTGCGAGAGCTGAAAAGAGTTTTTTTTATTGCTCGTTGCCCTTCCTACACAACGCACACAACCAGCACTAGGCCAGTATTTGATTAAAGTGTACTGCTGAACAGCATGCAAATCCGTATGAAGTTGCTTAACAGAGACAACTCACCTTACTCTGCTTACTAAATATTCTTAATGGGGATGTCTTAATTTAACTGATCAGCTGAGCTTGGTAACTTGTAAAATATTCAGACTAAATGAGTGGAAGTGCCCTCATTTTGTGGATTTAGGCGCTTTGTTTTATTATTATTTTTAAGATAAAAGATTTTATGATATCTCGCCACATGGAGTCAGACTTTGTGATATGCAGCCATATCTCAGCTCAACACATCCTGACTGACCTGCTCTTTTACTGTTTTTATTTGATGCTTAGTTTATGGGTCAGCTGTTTCTGTTGCTCTCAGTGAATTTATTCGTTTTCTGGTGCCATACTGGCTTATTAGTTCAATCTATAAAGCACATAAACTCCATCTTTGTTTCTTCCGCTTGTGTTGACTTCAAAACTCCAGTTTAGAGAAATGTGCTTCAGGGATTTTGGCCAAACATGTGTAAGATGAGTTAAAAGCCTCTTGCTCTCCTGTGGAGGATTGATGCCCATTAAAAACCTACTATAAAGTGGACCAAAAAGGTTACCGATGGGCTGCTTTTGACAGATGATTAACAATAGTGTTGCTTGACATTGTGGTCATTAGAAGCACTGAAACTGGTCTGGAAGTAAATACGTTTTGATCTATTTTTTATTTTTTATTTTTGCTTTGTGCCTCCTAATTCCAGATTCTGCTTTGCTGCAAACGTCCCATCATGCATCAGTGACGACGCCTGATTAGGGTAAACCTAAAAATCACGGCAGTGCAAATCTTATGTAGCTGAATATGAATCATTTCGTTTCAAGGGTGGAAGGTGGCAGGAAGTGTCACGCTCTCTGCTTTGGTTTTGATGATCAGTTTCGGCTTTTCTATCTTTTTTTTTTTTTAAGGAGGTTACGGTTTACAGTCAGTGTGTCAGAATGTGTGTATCTTTTTTGTGTTTCTGCAAAGATTACGTTGGGAGCTTTTTCCTGTTAGTATGAAAAGTTGTGTTTAGCTTGCTATTTAGTAAAGAGCATGTGGAAAACTGGCAGACAGATAATTTGTCTATGAGTGTATCCCCCCCCTCATCCCCTATGGTAGAGACCAAGCCTGCACCGAGGAAAATAACCCACAAAATTCTACCTTGATGTGTAGTCTGTAGTCCTACAGCCCCACCCCTTTCTTAAAAAAGCAGCCGTTTGTCTCGACACGCGCCAGAGCCAGGACTGTAGCCGTGTGACGTGTTTACAGGAAGCCRCTGTCCGTCAGCTCCTCAGTAACAATAAGCAGTCTGGAGAGCAGTTCTGCTCTGAACCAAGCGTCCGCCCATCGGAGAGGTGACCACTGTTAATGTCAATAATGCTTCTCATGTGCACAGGATCATATGCTGGAGATGTACACAACCACATGTGCTGGGAATAAATTACTTCAGAACTTTCTCTGGTGTCCTGAATCATTCTTGGAAGAAAGAACCGCTGCCTGAAATGTTTTAGTTTTACCTGAGCAATAAAATAAGAATATATTTTTTTTTCTTTTTCAGTAAATAACATTATTTTTTTTAGACCTGAGTACTCTTTTAGTTTGATCATACAGTATGTGATCCATCACATCAGAGGATGAGTCTCAAACTGGTATGTAGAGAAATGTGTTAAAATCTTAGCAATAGCATTTTATCAAAATATGATCATCTTATCTACATGTTTATATTAAATATCTTTAAATCTTAAAAAAAATCATGTCTTTTTGAGCATTAGCTACAAAACAACTGAGCTGAATTTTTTTCCCCTACAACCAGTTTTTTCTTTCCAGGTAAGAAATTTAGTCCAAAAATTAAAGTTTCCTTTTTATAACATGTAATATTCTTCATCAGAAAAACCTAAAATTGGGATCAATGAATTACTGTACTTAGGAAGACAAATCATGACAGCTTTGTAATTGCTGAGATGATCTACTGTATAAAAACTAAGCTTAAAAAGCAGAAATCTGAAAATGTGCTGCAGTCATTTTTGACTCAATCCTCAGTTTGATGCGATGGATCTCAAATTACTTTTGTTTGCTTAAACAGCAATGGCTTTGTATGCAAGAACACAGTTTAACACACAAATGTTTTTCTTTTTCTGAGCAAAGGAACAAATAACTTGTTGAAAGTCRTCTTTCACACGGTAAGAGTTGTTTTCCCGAAGGTTGCCTGCTGCCTTCTCACCAGCGGCCCTCTGGAGCCTGAAGCAGTCCCTGTGATTCTCTGACCTGTGGCTGACCTCCGGCCTGCCTGTGGTCTGTGAGGTGTATCCTGGACCAGTGAGACAATTAACCCAGCTGAAAGACGATTTAACTGGTGAAAAGGGTGTATCTGGACATACATAAATGGTTATAGATCAAAGACTATTAAACATAGGAGCTTCAGATTTCTTTTGTTGTTTAGCTCTGATGAGGGGCTATCCATCAGGTCCACCCCCCACCTAAAAAAAGGACCCCCACCCAAACCACTACAATTTTGGGATGCATCTGGTAGCATGACATTCATTAGGAATAAAGACTTCTGAGTTCTGGTGCATTTCTGCGTACGGGGGTCGTTATGTTACCGCTATGCTATTAAACAAAATAAATGAATTTTACTATTTAAGTATTTTCTTAACCATGTTGATTCAATAAATGTAAACCAGTGGCGCCCAAACATTTTCCCCAAGAGGGCCAAAATGAAAATCTATCCAGGTCTGCAGGTTATATGCAGTAATTT